GGCCATCCTATGTGACGAAATAATAGCTATGTAGTATGAATGTATGTATGTATATCAATAAGACCTTCCAGCCCTGGTATCTGTTTCATAATCACTTTTGTTGCACGGACGGTAACCCAGTCCAACTTTGTTCAAACAAATTTAGAGCTTAGTTTATTTAGAGCGTTGTTATTATATTGTTAAAAAGATGACGCGCTATGGGTTCCTCTAATGTCTGTATATCATCACCTAAATTTATGACATGCGCGTAATAAATCATAACGCGTTACTAACATCTAACAATGCTTTAAAATAAACAAAGCATAAAATGGCCGTTTTCTGGGCTTTGTAGACTTAAAATCCTGTATAAAACGAAAACGGTGAATGATAGAGAGATCTAGTAATTAATTTAGTGACGGCTCCACTTGACGATTCAGAGTTTCCAGATCACTTTCAGAAAAACATTTGTAGAGGCTGAAATTGCACCTATTAGCAATATTCACACATAATTTCCCTATAAAACTTTGAATGATAGAGAAATGTCTTTAATTCGCATACTAATGCTATCTAAGCTTACCACCCAGCGATGCGGACCTGTAGCGCAAAAAACATATACAAACGACATGCACGAAATGAACAACAACTCGCTGCAGTGATGCTAGGCTGGGCGCTGCCACGAGGATGTGAAGAGGGACGACGTTGTCAGACGGACGTTAACTACCGGTAGGAGAGAGAAAGAATGTCTATAGTCTAGTTGTATGGACCTGTTTGACTGACTTCATTCATTTAATTTCTCTGTTGCACATGTTTGTAACTGACTTTTTTCTCAGAGGATTTAAATTGTGCTGAACTTAAGCCTTTATGTACTGATGACGGCATTGCTTAGGAAGTGCAGAGTCAACCTACTTGACGCTATTTTTTAATGTCATGACCATTATTCAACCTCTGATCGACAAGTTTATTAGACAGCTCATATTGATGTGGATAAGCGAAACCTAAATAAAATAAATAAATAGGTTCTTTAAATAAGTAATAAAATTAATAAATAAGTTTTATGTAAATTCTGACATTAGGTGTTTTCTTAACTTCGGTTGAACTGCCACCATAAGTTTATACATATTTGGTGAAATTATGATGACAGAATCGGAAAAATTATAGGCATGTTCGTAAATTAAATTTATTATTCAAAAGACTGTTGCTTGGTGCCTTTTTGCTATAAAGAATTATACATGAGAGTAATTTGAAAAATGTTCCATCACGCTTTGACGTCTACTGAGGTGAATAGCTGATCATCAAGTGACAATTTTGTGTTAGTCTGCAACGTTGGCAATAATGTTTTTTGTATGCAAATGAACTTGCTTAAATAAACGAACTGATAGCAAGTACAAAATGAATCTGTAGCGTACAAAAAAACAGAACAAAATACGGCTCTGTCTACCTGGCGTTGACGGATACGTCCGAATTATGTGTCCTGTGCCAATATAGGGAATTTTGAGATATTACTAGATAATCAGCCGTCATTCTGCCGTGATGGACACTCGTGAAATAGGGTATGTTGTTTTTAATTTGACGCGATCCTTGTCTACGATAGTTATTTTCGTGACAGATGTGGATCAAAACGTGTAAAAGTTCTGTTGTCAGTACAATCATCTGTTAAAGCCACAAGCGATACAGATTACTTGATGATGGAGGCATTTAACCCACTCATTACAAAATTTACATATTACTTCCCAGGCCTACTGGCGAGAAAGTAATGTGATCGCGAAAAAAATATAAAAGGTGTTATTGTTTTTTGGGTGTCTGTCCATCTGTCTGTCTGTCGGTATGTCGGCAAATCTTTGACCCGTTTATAAATTACCTAGGCTGGATGCAAATAGAAGGCGGTCAGGCGTTCCGAGTTCGGAGTTCTGCGTTATTTGTAATTTGTTTAAAGGAAGTACATATTACAAACATTACAAAAGGCACAACTATGAGCTCGGTACTCGGAACGGCTGACCGTCTTCTATCTGCGCGGGTTTTTAAGTACTGCTGGAATCATTGTTAAGTGGTATTGTGAAACTTTAAAACAAAAATATCTTTCTTATGTGAAAATTGCATAAGTCACAACACCTATAACGGTAATGCAAGATCGTAAGCTTTATTTATTTGTCTGACTTACTGAATACTAGGAGAACTGCTATCAGCCGCAATATATTCTCTTTCCTTCATACTATCATCAAAACGAAATCCAGAACCATGTTTATTTTCTGTGTAACTAAAATTTCCAGTGCTCTTACCAGCCAAACTTAGGAGGGACAGGAGAGCATGGGAATTAAGTTGGACCTTAAAATTTGCATATTTAGCACGATTTTGTGGACAATTTTCAGGATTTTCAGGATTTGGCAACCCTGGGAAAATCTGCTACTCCCCGCCATTCAGAAAGAATTGTCTCTTGCCGCTTAAACTTTAAATAATAAAAACGTTGTCAATATTTCTAAGGAAGAAAGTAGGTCCAAAAATAACACTGAAAAACTGGCCAATACAACGTGTTTCTCTTTTCGGTTGAAGCGAAAGCTCTAGTACTAGCGTCGTTTACCCAATAATATTTGAACTTTTTCTTAATACAAGCTTTATTCGACAGTCAAGTGCGAATATAAACAACAATAAATTCAACCATTCAAGTGACTTCTGAGTATTTTTACAAAATTTTTGAATAAATCGTCGGTCTCCGCACGTACCTGCGTAACTAACATTTTACAAATTCTACAGGAGAGCTAGAAAACGAAAATCAGCAATAAATGAGATTGAAAATGACATACTGATTTTTTAGTCTGCACGTTGCTGTTTTTTTTTGTTAGACTAAAATGAACCAATTTTAACGCAGAGGCGTAAATCTATCTAAGCCGGTCGGTGAAAATTGTTTTCGGAATTTTATAACTTACGCAATTTTCTGAAAATTTTATTCCTTAGCAGCGAACTGATATACAGCTACGTCATTTCGTGAAGTGAGAGACTACAAAGAAATATATGTGAAATTACGGCGTAACTCGATTTTAGATTATTTATCATTTACGCCTGTACGTGCGGAGACCGACGAAATGTACGTTCTTTACATTATGCGGTAGATTATTATACGTTTCTATTTATTTAGGGCTATTTAATCGTATATTAGTTCTAGTGGGAATTATGTGATCTTGTTTCATACTGATGCACATCATGTGTGATCATTAGTTGTGTATTACACCTTTTTTACACCGGAGCAGCCGCACAGTCAGAAGCCAGGACACCGTGGCTGCTACGAGGATCCGATTTTTGAACTGCCTAAGGTTAGTAGAACTGGGAAAATCTTACACTTGTAGATTGCTCCACAATCTCGACACCCTAGGAAGAAAGGGGCGGTCGCATCATCCAGTTATGGATGTGGATGACTATCGGTTAGACAAGAGTCATCTAACAGTCGGACAGCCCTGCTCTGGGCAGCATCGAGCATCCCAAAGTGGAAGCAATACTCGAGACTAGGTCTTATCTGGGCCTGCTATAAGGTGAGGAAGTCATGTGGAGAAAAGTACTTCTTAGCCCTAAACAAACAGCCTAGCTTTTTCCCAGCAGCTGCCACTATTGACGATATGTTTTCGTGCCAGATCAAGTTCTTGATGATATAGACTCCGACCAGCCTAAATGAACGGCTCTTTAGTAGAACTCGAACATCCGTTGAAACCGGATGCGCGCTAGGGCGCTTTTTGTTCGTCAAGGTACAGTGTGTTTCGGAAGCAATAAACTATACAAGACTATTGCCTCCCCAAGTAGTGATAACCTCCAGTTCTCTCGTCGCTGCTATCCTACTTTTTTCCAGCTCACCGGAAGAAATCGGCTTGTCGCTCTGAACTCCTGCATGTGTGCGGTCATCAGCAAAGCTGTGGATTAAATTGATCGTACAGGAAAGGAGGTCGTTGATATGTAAGAGGCACAGTGTTGGAGCCAAGAAGGATCCCTTGGGAACACCTGCGTTGACTTTGTGGAAAGAAGAGGAGGACCCGTCAATTACGACCGATATCTTGCGGCCTGAGTGAAAGTGAGCCACCCATCTGCAAAGCTTCTCGGGGAGGCCAGAGGATGAAAGTTTGCATAAGAGGGCAGTGTGCCACCGATGATCGAACGTGATATCAAGTGCAACGACATGAACCTCACCGCGTGACTGGATGTTTTTACTCCACAATTGGGTGGATCGTTAGTACCGGAAATCATACTGCCTGTCGCTAATCAAGTCGTGACGTTCGAGGTAGTCCAGAAGCTCCCCATCAGTTTATTTATAAAAGAAAGCATAGCTCTAGGCCTGGAGTTGTAAGTGTCTTACATCCCTTTTTTGGGATGGCTTGGACATGAGCAAATTCCTAGTTTTCTGGGTAGGCGGCGGATTCATAAGATATCTGGAAGAGGCGCGAAAGAACTGGAGCAAGCTCCGCTGCACACCTCTTCAATATAACGGCAGGCATCAAGTCCGGACCAGAAGCTTTGTTGATGTCGAGCAACAAGAGCACCCATATTACGGTCTTACACCTGAATGTTACTTCCCAGATAGTGTAGGGAACCCTTTGAATCGATGGCACTCGGGCATTGGGTGAAGTTGGTAGCAAAGATCTTGACAAGCAATTCCGCTTTATCCTTTGAGTCGGTTACAATCGTTCTATCCTGGCACGAAAGTGTTGGAAGGCCACTCTGTAACAAGTTCCTTTGTTGGTTATTTAAAATTTTGAAAACAACTAACATTGTTCTTATTCCAACAGTTTATCTAGCTCAGTAGCATTTAATTTTGTGTCAATATTATCCGGGTTAACAAGTCGGTCATAATTCTCAATGCTCCATTTTGTGAAACTTGTGGTTTATGAGACTCAGTTTTACCACATTTAGATGTACTAATAACTGTGTTCAGTGACTTCATGTTTCCTCCGCGAATACGTGTCCCGCTCCTTCTTGGACAAAACCTCCACTGCCGCAGCAGGTTGCAGGATCCGATCGGTGTGGTAGTGGCGCAGTGTCAGTGTTTCAGTGTTTCGGCGCTTTCAGCCTCGTAAAGTGCAGTGCACGAGCAGCGCATTCCGCGTTCAACGGACGGGACGGTGCTTTTTCGATCTTTCGTCAACCGTACCACCAGCTAAAAAATGCATTGTTATCGGTACCGTTGGATTGCCAAATTTGGACCGATCTGGTTTGCGGTGGTCTTATGAGAGGTAAGTTAAATCTGCAGCATTTGAGTAATCTATAGATATTCTGCTTCTTCCAAAACATGTTTCTTCTTTGTTTTTTTTCTATTTTAAGTGAGCATACCATTTTCGTTCTTTATTAGACTCAGCTTACTGCTATCTAACCATTTCGTAAAATCCAGTTATTCATCTCCTCCGTTTTTCGCATGCCGTCAGGTACCGCCACTAAAGATTCAGCAGGTCAAGTAGCTTGATATTTTTAGAAACTACTTGAAAAACAATTAATTTTTCATTTTTACTTCCTATGCCAAAAGTCACGAGGAAGTTTTGTAATCGCGAAGAATTTCGAAATCTTAGATATTATGTTTTTTGGATGTTCTATGTGTCGGTCAGTTCGCTAATTTTATAACCGCCTATAACTTGAAAAGTACCGCTCGGACTGTGATTAAATTTCTACACAAGATTACTACTCCGCCAAGAATAAAAAAGTTCTGTAATTTTTGAAAATGGGTCTAGTGATGGAGGAGAAGAAGATCAAAAACGAAAACAAAATAAAAACGCTGAAACTCGTTTTGTTTTATAGGGTCCTGATCATTTTCAGGCAAATTGTTGTAGGGGTTGAAATTTGTGGGTTGTAGAGGGTGGGGTATGCTATATTTTTTTTATCTTAGTATATTTATATGCTCCCAGCCCCGGTAATTCTATGCACATATTATCCATATTTCAGTCATCACACATTTTACATTTGCCTGTAAAACTTGAAAATGATAGGGAAATGTTTCCGATCCGCGTACTTGTGCCTATCAAAATGAACCGCCTGGCGAATCAGTCTGGCTCATATATTTATTCGTACTGAATCCCAAAAAACATATGGAGCTTGTCGAACAAAAGATAACTCGCTGCAGATATTCTGAGTAGATTTGGAAAGGGACAACGTTGCCGCATAGTCGGTAACTACCAGGACAGGGGAACAATGTCTGTAGTCTAATTGTATGGGCCTGTTTGACTGACTCAATACGTTTAATTTCTCTGTTCTACATGTCACTAGCGCAATATTTTGCTCTGGATGATCTAGGGACGTCGGTGACATCAGCTTTACGAGGCCTCTTCCATTTTCCAGTAAAAAAAACGTAAAATTAAACGAGCTGAGTTATATACTAATATATCAGTATATGCACCTTACTGCTGATCAAATGTTGACAAAAATTAAATGAACAAACCCAAATTAAAGTCGCTTTTAGCGTCACTGAATTGAAATACCAGTCGCAATTTCCCCTTCAACTGATAGATCGTGGTTCTCAAGTATACCTTGATCAACTTCAGTCTTAAGAAGCTTCTCTCAATAGAAGCTGTACTGATTGGATCAGAGAGCATGATTTCAATTGTTATGTAAACACTTGGATATACTGCTTCATATACGAGGGATGTCTTTTAAGTTCTGCATATGGAAATAAAACAACACGGTAGGTAGTTTTAAATGACTTTATTGTTTTTAGAAGTATTCTCCACGAAGATTAATACACATCTGCATGCGCTCGAACCAATTTTCGAAGAACATCCCACTCATTTGCTGGCAGATCCAAAACGGCATTTTTGAATGCGTCAACTGCTTCTTCTGGTGACTGGAACCTTTGACCACGCAGTCTGTTTTTAATTTTCGGGAAAGTAATCGTTAGGACCTATATCAGGACTATATGGAGGATGGTTCAATAATTCCACGTTTTCTTCCATTAAATACTGCCTTGTTTTTTGGGCTGTATGCGAGCTTGCATTGTCTTGGTGGAGGATGATTCTTCTTTCGGGGCTGATTTTTTGAAGCTCGGTGATGACTTTTGGCAAACAAATGGTGGTATACCAATCCGCAGTAACAGTTCTTTGCTCGTTAAGAGGAATTGTTGCAATATTACCCGCTTTTGACACAAATGTCGCGACCACCTTTTTCGAAACACTTCGAGAACGGATGACTTTTGTTGGCTTTTCTTCACCTTGGAACGAACATCCAAACAGCCGACTGTCGTTTATCTTCTGGTTCATAACAGTAAATCCACGATTCAACACCATTAACAATGCTGTACAGATTTTTTGAGTTTCCGGAATTGAAACGGTCAAGCGTTTTTTGACGCTTTCTGCTCTTCAGTCAACAGGTGGGGTATCCAACGAGAAACTAATTTTCTTACTCCTAATTCTTCATGTAAATTTTTTTAAATTGAGGTCTTTGAGACGCCTCAATCTCGCAATATGTCACATGTCTATCTGCAATGATGAGTTTGCGCACAGCATCGACGTTTCCCTGGGTGACTGCCGTTTTTGGTGCACCCACCTTGGGATCGTCGCTAAGACTCACCCGTCCACGTTTGAATTCTCCATACCAACGAGAAATTGTCGATTGATGTGGCGCTTCTTTGCGATAATTGTCTCTGAAAGTTGTCATAAATTATGGCGCAAAAATGTTCTCGGTTGAATTCCATTTTTCTAATGACTTGGTAACACTTAAAAATTCAGTGTAGTGAGAACTCTGCACGTATTGTTGTGAAACTTTGAATTTAAGTTTACTAAAGAGTGAGGTTAAGATTCAGTACTGACGTTCGATCCGCGCGGCCTACTATGTGTCTATATGCAAAACTTAAAAGACATCCCTCGTATAGTTCGAAGGTCAGTATCATTGTTTTTGCATTTCCAAAGTATTGTACCTAAGTCGTTGCAATGTCTATGAATTAAATCTTATATCGTCGCAACCCTTGTTAGAGGAATAAGTGAAGGACTTTAAATATATTGATCTTTGTGTTGTTGGTGAGTAAACGTTTAGTTATTGAAAATTATGATTTGTTAATAAATAACGATTAAATTAACTTATTGAGAATTCCCTTATGTTCAACGTGTTATTTAGGTATTGTAAAAGAATTCGAATGAAAATAATGACAATCGTGCGAGTTATGCTGAATACCGCTTTGGAAAATGGTGTTTCGTGAAAAAGGCGTTTAAAGCTTTAAAATAGACATGAAAAACCATGTCCTTGTAAATGTGTTGACTCTACACCAGCGTACGTAAAGATCGATTTTATAAAAAATTTACAGCGATGTCATCCCTTAAGCAGTGTGAACACATAAAACAAACTGATGGCTAAAATAAACATAATGTGGCTAAATACCATGAACTCAGTGAATAGTAAAACAAGAGTTAATAACAATCGCATTGAAAGTAAGACTAAAATATAAAATTGACTTTACAGTATAATTAACAGGAAATGCCAAAAAACCTAAACACTATTTCCTGGTCAACATTATGAGCAATTTCGTTGAATAACATTCGTTTTAGCCACTGGTGCTTTACAACAAACACATGCGTTTCTGGTTGGACAAAACTTGATACATACATTTCACACATTTTAGACTTTCCGCAAAAAATAATGTGACCGGCAATCGATTTTATATGGTACTATATAAATTGCCTTTTAAAAAGTCCCCCTTCTTTACGTTTTGAACGTAAAGCTAGTGAGCAGTAATTCGAATTGACGAAATTGATGCATGAATACTTTTACCGTAAAAGTGATACCTGAAGCTCCTTATAAGTGCTTGTACGAATCGCTGAAGTTGAGCCCTTAATCTGTAGCAAGCTACAATTACAACAAATCGGACATTATCACTATTAGATAGTGTAATTTGTAATTGAACTTCTTAATTCATCAATGATTGATATTATCCTTAGCGATAATACACCCATAAACAGATTTCATAATGTCTATTAACAACAATAAAATAATATAACAGCACCTTATTATTTGGTAATTAGCTCTGATCTATTGTTATACAACACAAAACTGGTGTAAAATAAGACAGACACGTTGATAGGTACATATATCAAAGTGAGAAACGATAAAGTGATTAGTAACTGTTAGTATTTGTTATGTAACAACAGGTTGCTAATTCAAGATTTGTTGACATCATTAATTTTTTGGTACACAGATTTCAGTTTCATCAGGTCGAACATTTATAGGTGCTCCAAAAATTAATGGAAATGGTGCATCACTTTCTGCCTAGATTATTTACATAACCCATAACGAAATATTGTATACGTATAACAATTTTACATACTATTTGTACACATTTGGATGCTCTAATAGGATGGAACCTACTTCTAAACATTCACACAAAGTCCTGTCAGAAACGGGTAGATTGGGTTTGGTAGGATTTCCGTGTTACTGTGAAACATTCTAACCACAATTTAAAAAGCTATATCAAAGAATAAAAACATGCGTGTTGTGTCTTTCAGAGAGGTTTTTCTCAGGAATATATACATGTAATTAATGTGAGAAAGCACATTTTTTGAAAATCATAAAACTGCTGGCAGGATCCTTAAGATTTTGCCACCTCTAAAAAAGTTTGCCCTCTCTATCCGAAAAGAGTCTGTTGCTCATGCCAATAGTTTGGACAGGTTTGATAACACATTGACGAAACGCTTTCTGTATTACTTTAGTTTCGTTACGCACCATTATTCGCTGAGAATAAATTAGCATTGGCAATTAACAAATTATATAAGTCAGGCCTTGCTGGTATGCACAAAACTGAAACATATCAAACATGAATTTGTCGAAATAGTAGCCAACGTAGGAATGCTTGGTATAATGACTGAGTAGGTAAAGTAGATTTTTTCGAAATGCTAAGTACTGGCTGTCTGGTGGCAGATCTCGGATTTAAAATCCGATTAAAAAAAACTACATCTATTTCGATAATTATTATAAAGAAGGATAGTGCGGATTTTGTTTCTTCATCTGAATGTTGACGATTACGTCGGGCACACTCTTGAAATCTCGACTCAGTATTTCGTGCCACTCGCTGCAGAAGTGATTGTGGGATAGCATTAACCTCGCGAATGATATTTTTTTAAGAGATAAGATGCGGTTTGTTTGCTGCTGATCCTGTTGATCTGAATCTCCGCGCCCACGAACAAATCGGTTCTTTACTGCTCCAAGCATCATGTTTTCGTAGAATATTGTACCGTGAACAAAATTGCCGATGAGCAGTTGCACA